CTCCATTGGGGTCGATGGGGCCGGCCCCCCGCTGGGGTGAATGGGCCATAGCTCCATTGGGGTCGATGGGGCCAGCCCCTCGCTGGGGTGAATGGGCCATAGCTCCATTGGGGTCAATGGGGCCGGCTGCTGCTGAGTGCTGGGCGGGCAGCAGAGTTTCAGGTTCCTCTGTCCCCACTCCCAGGGAGCTGGATTTCACCCCACCTGAGCCGGGCCTCTGGCTTCCTACCCGGCGGGTGCGTAATCATTATCCCCCCGCCAGCAGTGCCTGGGGCTCCCTGGCGGAGATCAGGGCCCCCCACTTCGCTTGATGTTCCACACACCCATAGAGCTCACGACTTAGCCACACAAAGGGTGTGTGTGGGCGTGGGGGAAACTGAGGCACAGAGCGAGGCAGGAACAGAGTCCAGCTCTCCTGCGTTGCAGCCCAGAGCCGGCTCCACCCTGGCCCGCTAACCGACAGCGTCTGAATCGTGGGGGAATCGCAGGTAGTGGGACCTCAGCAGTGCCCAGAGGCCGTTCTGGCCCTTGGCACCGGGGGGCAAAGTCCTGCCCCTCGCTGCAGAGAGTTGCTTGCAAGCCCTGGGATGGATTCTCAGGGGGCAGGTCCCCCCCTTGGATATGGGGCAACATCCCAGAAGTCTTTGCTCCTCTCCTCAGCTCTCGCCCATTCTAGCGTCCGTCTGCCCCCGGCCTGCTTCCTGCCTCAAGGGACAAGACGTACAAAGAACGAGGATCCTTGTGGCACCGCAGAGACTGACCATTGTATTTGGGCCTCAGCCCTCGTGGGCTGAACCCACTTCAGCGGCTGCACGAGTGGAGCATACAGGAGGAAGAGACACACCTCTACCCCGCTATAACGCGGCCCGATAGAACACGAATTCGGATAGAACGCGATAAAGCAGCGCTCCGGGGGGGCTGCACACTCCGGCGGATCAAAGCAAGTTCGATAGAACGCGGTTTCACCTATAACGCGGTAAGATTTTTTGGCTTCCGAGCAGGACCGCCCAGAGGATTCAGGGGGCCTGGGGCCCCCCGCCGCCGAATTGCCACCAAAGACCTGGAGCGGAAGAACCTCCGGGGGCCCGGGCCCCATGAGAGTTTTCCGGGGCCCCCGAAGCGAGTGAAGGACCCCGCTCCAGGGGCCCCGAAAAACTCTCGTGGGGGCCCCAGCGGGGCCCGGGGCAAATTGCCCCACTTGCCCCCCCCCCCGGGCGGC